TCTATATATATATATATATATATATATATATATATATATAATCTTGTTCAAATTTTCAAGCGTTAATACAATACTTTCTATTCATCCATTCAAGTTCAAATACATTTTTTAAAAATTGTAGGGGATGACACTTGATGTTAGTACAGTTTTTTTCAAATATTAATTTATTTGTTAAAACTTAATTAATGAATAAATAGTAGCAAATAAAAATAATAGTTCAACAGCAATTTTTGGAAGGAAAATTGTTTATTATGTCTGTAGCGCAATGGATAGCGTGCGTTGGACTTCTAATCCAAAGGTCATGGTTTCGAATTTTACCCACTTTAAAAGGTCAGATTGATTCGAAATTTTGCACATTTGTCAAGGACCGATGACAATACAATAATTTCATAATTTTGTTCTATTGTCCAGATCAGGATCCTCAAAAATTAAGAATTTTAAGTATTTCGAGATTTGGCGACTAATTTAGTATATTGTTTCCCGATTTTGCGATTACGTGGTCCGTCACCAAAAGCCCTCGTGTAGCTGAAGAGTGCGACGTTAATATTCACTAATTCACTCACTCCCGATTTGGCAAGTAATTGCATACACCATTTTCAGATTTGGTGACTAATTATATATGCTATTTCCAGGTTTGGCGACTAATTCAAGATTAAGCGACTAAACGATTAAGTTGCAAACCTAAAACCGCAAATAAGTTTGTGTTTAATACAAATAAAACAAAAAAAAAGGTGTTCTTTATGTTCTCTCTTACCATAATATAAGTCTAGTTTTTCTGAAAATGGGAAAAAAAAGAAAAACTCGTGCATGTGTGAATAAAAATAATTTATGTTCCAACTGCTAAATATTTTTTATTTTTATAAAGCAATGCGTTTAGAAGTAATGATACGAATTAACATTATAACGTTTAAAAGGTGATAAATTTATGTTCTAACTGCTAAATATTTTTTTATTTTGACAAAGCAATACGTTTAGAAGTGATGATACGAATGAACATTATAGCAATGCGTTTAAAAGGTGATAATACGATTGACATATAATATTTCTTCTTAACACCTTTTTATTAGTTAGACCTGTATCTGTAGAGACGGAATCTTTGAAATATAACGATATGGGACTCATCCGAGGCCCTGTAAACGAAGAGAATAAATACCCTTCAGACCCGTTAATTAATATCCATTGAAGAGCAAGACTAATTCCAGGAGCCACATAATTCCGGCTTCAAATATCAAATTCAAGTATAAATTCAACAAAGAATAAATAATAGTTTTAAAAACTTAAAAAACAGGCTTTTATTGTATATCGAACTAAAAAATGAAAAATAAATTATAGTTTAAAAAAGCCCTAAAAACTCGCTTTTACAGTGAATCGAACTAAAAAGTAAAAAAAAATAATTCTTAATATAAGAATAAAATGATTAACGAGAAAATTGATGTCATTGTGGCAAAAGCGTGGGGTGCTTTGTACTGCATTTTTACACTAACTCAGCATTTCAGAATAGAACTAGTAAGAAATTATAACATTTAATATAGAGCTCCCCACGCTTTTACCATAATGACATTAATTTTCTTGCTTTTTATTTTTTTTAAACTATAATTTATTTACTATGCTATTTTATTATAATAATTAAATTTAATTAATGAATAAATAGTAACGAACAAAAAAATAGTATAACACCCTATATAGAAAGGAAAATGGGAAATTGCAAGGAAAATCGATTTCTCTTTTGTCACTTAATAGTGTAATTCTGTCATATGTATATACATATTTTTATATTAATTGTAACTATTAATTAAAAAGTAACTAAAATAAAAATTTTATTTGTTGACCGAAGTAGTAATTGACTTAATTTTTCAATTTCTACTATTATATATAGTTCAGCTCTCAAAATATTTATTTATTTATCTTGGTGGAATTTTCAATCGTTAATAAAATAAATAAATATTAAAGCGCTCAATTGAACTGAAATTTTATATACATGATTATTTTGGATGAAAATACAATAATTTAATTATAATTAATAAAAGTTAATTGATTAAAATTAATTATTCAAAGAATTACAAATACAGCCATATTGGCATCACTTTTGGCTACCATTTTGGCGACTTGTGTGTGTGTCAAAACTTGAAAAGGTTTTTTTCTCACATTTTAAAGCGCTCATTTGAGCTGAAATTTTCTATACACTATTGTTTTGGGTAAAAATACGATAATTTAATTATAATTAATTAAAATTAATTGACAAACAAATTCTTTAAAAAATTACAGATAAATCCAGTCGGTTTCCTTTTTAGCTACTTGTGGGTCAAAACTTTAAGAGCTTTTTTTCTCACGTTTTAAAGCATTCAGTTGAACAGAAATTTTATATACACAATTGTTTTGGATGACAATACGATACTTTAATGATAATTAATAAAAAATAATTACCACTTAATGTTGTGATTCTGTCATATGTATATATATATTTTTACTAATTGTAACTATTAAATAAAAAGTAGCTGAAATAAAATTTTTCTTTGTTGATTTAAGTAGAAATTGATGTAAAAATTTGTTTTTATATTACTTGTTTTTAGACTAATGGTACTGAAATAGTTCAAATGAAAATAACATTTTAAACTACATAAGAATTTATTTGAATTAATTCATTCTCTGCAACGATTTCAACGATATATTGAATCAGCAATACGATTTCAACTTTAGGTTACTTAGCAATGTCGGGGACCTGCACATATGAATCTTATATATATAAATTTGATTGTTGAATTTGTTTGTACCTTATGCACACACACAAATCTATGAAATCATTTCACTCCAAAAAGTTTTCGGCAACTTCATTGATGTTTCGATGCACACACACATATACCCATCAAAAATTTTTTAACTTTACTTTTGGTGAATTTTTTCTAAAACTCCCTTTTTTATCATTGAAAGATGGCAGTAGTACACAGACTATTTTCATTGAAATGGGGTTATATATATATATATTTTTTTTTTAAAAAAAAGGAGACGATAGCACCGAGAGCCGTAAACATTATGCTAAAAATTAAAATTGATATGTAGGGGATAAAGGGGTTGAACTCCCACACCTCACCCTTATGTACACCATTGAATTGATTCAATGAAAAAATATTTTATGCTTTTTAGCTTGGTTATCAATTTTTTAAAATTCCACTGAGTGAAAAATTTGAGCTTCATATACCTTTCAGCAGGGACTTTTTGTGTTCGTAATACACACACACAAAAAAAAAAAAACTTTTTGTGATTTTATTTTGTTTTGGCAAAAATTTGAGAAAAGTATTAATTTAAATGAATTGTCTATTTCTGATTGAAATTCAGAGGTGAAAGATAAAATGGATAGTATATACGTTTCATAAGTATTTAAGCCAGCACTTTTCAAATTGTGGGAGGCGCCCCCATAGGGAGCGTGATAACCCTAGGAGTGGGGCGCGAGCATACTAAAAAGTCGAAAAAACAAAAGATTATTTTAAAAAATTATTAATTTATTGAAAGTAAACAAAATACATACTGATATAATAAAAAAAAACATTTGCACTGATGTAATACTCTTATAAATGTATAAGTGCTGCACAATGTATTTTATAGTTAATTTAACAATACTAAATTAAGAATAAGTTTGATAATTACCAGTGATCCCACAGGCTTTTCATATATAAAATTATATGCGAAAATTAACGCTTATCTTGATAATTTGTACAGTTTATAATTAATCTCTTAAATGCCGATTAAAAATTACGTGATTCGCTCCCCAATGCCACCATTTAACACGTAGACGAGCGTACCTGGTGTATTGGGGAGGGGGAGGTTAAAGGAATAAAGAAACAAATAATCTGAAGTAAGCAAATCAATCGCAAAGACAATCAAGGTCCTTTTATTGCATTCCAAAGCCTTCGGAATAATTTTATGGATAGCAGTAAACAGAAAAGAATGTTTTTCGGAAAGACGTAGATATACGTCCGGGGAAATTTACACACTGTCTGAGTGAGACATTTATATACGCCGGAAGTAAATATGTTAAAATTGTATAGTAGCTTTAGCGTCGAAGTATCGTATTATCGAATTTAATACATTGCTATTGCATGGAGGGGGGCGCGATGAAAATTATGATTGAATATTGGGTCGCAAGTATTGGGAATTTGAGAAGCACTGATTTAAGTATTTTATTCGGATAAAAATTTGTAATACATTTTGCTTTTAGCAGACGATTGAATACTAGGTAAAATATTATTTCTTTTACACTACTTGGGGACTAATTCCGAAGTCGCGCCAAAAAGGCATCAAGAGCGTGATTTTCAATCCAAGTCGAGTAAATGGCATATAAGATAGCTTGATGTAAGGACAACTGAATAATTCTTGACGCAAAAAACAAATATCGATATTCTACAAAAAAATCACATGAAAAAGCTTATCAAAAGAATAAAAATGGAAAGAAACACTTCGATCATCTTTCAACCCCCACCTAATTGCCGCTAGTAGACTCTTACCCGGTCCATACTTTATTTTATCGAACTTGCAACCATCTTTTGAAACATTAACAGCTTTCATTCACAACAGCAATCGTACAAACTTCACGAATATACAATAACAAATCAACCACCGTATTCTTATTGTCAACAATTTATTTACAGCAAATTAATTCAATGAAATTCCAAACCAGTACTTAATTAGCAGCTAAATTTCGCACTTACTCAAATGACTAGTACTGATCCATGTACCTCTTATGCTTCCGCTCACATTATGATACTTCCTTGCATACGACTCCATCCATTCATCAGTTGTTGTTTTTTTCTCAATTTCATCGTACAACTTCCACACTTCAGGCATTAATCAAGCCTTTTCAGAAACAATTCAATCTCAATTTCTTCTTCCCACTTGCTTCCAAATGACTTAAAAAAATTTGGCAATTCTTGCATCTCATTCTCATTTTGATAAGCCTACCAGTACTGACACTTATAAACAGTAGTCAAACAAAGGGCTTCATTTACGTTATTACGCTGGGTAGCCAGAGATTTTGGCATAAAAAGTTAGTTTAGCGCTCGAATCATGGAGCCCTTAGACCTATTAGGTATTTTGGGGGGAACACTATCACACACTTAGAAGAATATAGCTTAAGAAATACTTCAAGCAGATCAACATGTTATATGAATTTTATACATAAAAGAAAATTACAGTATTTTTACTAAAAAGTTTTAGCTTAAAATTTATGTAAGACGTTGAAAGTAAGGTGAGACGTAAGGTGCAGACGCTGAAATGCACTCGCTATATTAAGCATAGAAAAAAAATTGCAAAAAATTTATTTTTCTGAAGTAATTAAT